TGAATTGGTATTGAGAGAGGTCTAAGGACGAGAGGTGTGTGTGTGTGTGTGTGTGTGTGTGTGTGTGTGTGTGTCCCTCTAGACAGGGAGTCCAGCAAGGCTGAACCAGATAGGCTGAAAGGTTCCATATCCTCCCCCATGCGGTCTGCAGGCTCCTATCTCCTCTTCTCCTCTCCTCCACTCCGATCCTCTCCTCTCCTCTCTTTCCCCTCCCCTCCTCCTTCATTCCCCTTCTCTATTCTCCTCTGCATTCTTGGCATTCCTGCCCTTCTGAACAACTCTCTCTTCCTCTTCCACCCACGGCCTGGGTTATCCTGCCTTGTCTAGGGGCCCAGGAGCCAGGAGGTGGGGAGGTGGGGGGAGCACTACAGCCTGGGACCCTTGAGGGCCCTCTCCTAGGACACTCCAGCCTGAAACCCTTCCCTGAGGGCCTGAGCCACTTAGACTCAGAGGACCACATCAGAAAGCATCACTGAGATAGCATCAAATCCAAATTCCCTGGAAGACAGAACTCAGCCCTGGGTGTCAGCTCTGTGACCTCTGACAAATTGCTTCCTCTCTTTGGACCTCATTTCCGCTATAAAATAGGGGTAATAATCTTGACATTACCTAACACTGGTTCAAGAACAGCCTGCACTCTTGTCTCACAGACAAGAATGTTGTTACTCTCCCCAATGTTTCTTCATCCTCATCCTAGCCCAGGGTTTCTGCCTCCACAATCCCTGCTTGGGCAGAGAGAATTCCTCTAAGAATTTAGCACGAAATGTCATTGTAACAAACAAGCTTGGCCCCCAGAAGAGGTAAGAAAATACACTTCTCTCTGGCTTTGCAGAGGTAGTGGACCACAGATGTGGAACATTGCATATACTCAGACTGGATTAAGCTCTTGGTTAGTTTGGCTGAAGTCTTTTCCCCACCCTCACTTCCTTTTTCTTTCTGTTTTATTTTTTGTTGGGATTATTTGGAAATGAAGATGATATAAAAACAAAAGATATCAGTAAAATTTTAAAAATATGTCAGGGAATCCATAGTAAAAACAAGCAATCAATAAGGATTTATTGAGTACATAGTAGGCTATGTGCCAGGTTCTGGTGGATAGAAATATAAAGAATTAAGTAATCCCTGCTTGCAATGAACTTCCATCCTATAGGAAACGACAACATGTACATGCATAAATATGACACAAATACAAGAGAGTGAGGGAACTAGCAGGTAGGAGATGAGAAGAGGCTTCCTGTAGAATGGGGAATTTGATGGGTCTTGAAAGAAGAGGTTTTCCATGAAGTGGAGGTGAGGAGGGCATGTATTCCAGGTACGGAGGCCTGGGCATACCCACAAAAGGAGAAGTGAAACAGATTAGGCCTACTGGGCCTACATACATACATATACATATACACAGATATACATCTCTCTTGTTCTCACTCTATATATCTGTATCTATATTTGTCTCTCTATATATCTAAATATATATGTGCTAGAAAGATAGTTGGGGTCTGATTGTGAAGGACTTTAAAAGCCAAACAGAATAGTTTTATCCTAGAGCCCATAGGGAGCCATTAGGAGTTTATTTAGGAGGGGAGTGACATGGAAGGAAAATTCTGCTAGATGATGCCTTTCTGGTTAATACAAATTGGAAAAAATACAGATGGAAAAATAATTTGGCACTAAAGCTGGTGATAGGTGGAAAGAGTCAATGACAAAAGAGCTAAAGTAAAAAAATGCCCATTAATACTGTTGGTGGAGCTTCTGTGAATTAGTCCAATCATTCTGGTAAATAATTTGGGAATTATGCAAGAAAAATGATGCAATTGTTCATATTCTTTGACAGATCCCAAATCTCAGCAAGTGCCCCAAGGAGGTTAAAGATAAAAAAAGTTCCACATACGCCAAAATATTAATTGCAGCACTTTTTTGTGAGGGGAAATAAAAACAGAAATAAAATGCCCATCAATTGGAGAATGGCTAAACAAACTGATATATGAATATAATGGGATATATGGGTGCTAGGAAGAAATTATGATTATATAGGGAATTCGAATGAAGACTTGTAAGAATTGGTGCTAGGCAAAGTAAGCAGAATTTAGAGAACAATGTACTCAATGACTATAATAATGTAAATGAAAACCACACTAAAAAAGCAGCTGACCTCAGATTAACTGAGCCCCAGAAAATAGATGAGGAAACACCTTTCCCTCTTCTCAGCTGAGAAGTGGAGAGCTATGGCTAAGGAATAGTATGTCCACATTGCCCAGGTCAGTCTTACTTAACTGTTTTGTTAACAGGAGAGGGTTTAATGGTAAGGGAGAATGGGGAGAGGGGAAGTAGAGGCAATACTAGAAAATGATTAAGGTATAAATAACATTAATACAATTTTTAAAAAATTAGGGAGGCTCTTTCCTGGAACTTCTAGTGCATTGTGTGATTTTAGATAAATCTCTTCCCTACACTAAGTTTCAAGTTTCCTCCTCTAAACAAGGTGTTCTTTAAATTCCCTTTTAGCTTGGGCAGGGGTGGGGAACCTGCAGCCTTGAGGCCACATTTGGCCTTTTGACTGAGTCTAAATTTTACAGAACATTGTCAGATTCTCCATTTTTAGGGTCATCATTCCCCTCACTCCTCCGACCTGACCCTAAGCCAGACACAGGGCCTGGCACACAACTGGTGCTCACTTCCAACGATTGCTGCCTTGGGGCTTTGCTTGCTCTCTCCCATGACCTTTTCTGCCCCATGGGTCTTTCCCCTTCCACCTCCTTTCACCCCCCAAGTAAGCAAGAATTTTCTGACTCCTCTCAGGTTCCCCAGGGGGTCAGAGATGCTGAAAGCCCAGCCTATTTAAGAATTCCATCCCCAGGCTTTATGTGACTTTAGGCTCTTCCTCAGGGAATTCAGAACCGAACCCACACAATGGTTCTGACAATCTCCTCAAACCTTGTAACTCTGGTCACTGACCAGTTAAATTCCATTTAACATGATTAAATTCAATGCACATTTATTGAGAACCTACTGTGTTCATGGCATTGTACAAAGACAAATAAAACACTCCCCATTCTTAAGGGGCTTATACTCTATAGACCCCAAACTCCCTGTCTCCCAAGTTTCTAAAAGAAAGGCAGGGCAGGGCCATGCGCTTCATTTTACAGA